TATATGTATGTACATATATGCAATATAAAGGCAAAGTGCATGTTTCATGATAATGTAATTTGTCGTTTTCGAATTCCATTCATAAATGTTGAAAAAAAATATTGTAGCGTATATTATCACGCCTTCCCTCATTCATGGCACGCCAAACACAATTAAATTAAATTATTATTATTAATTTAAAAAGTGCAGAGTACACCATGCCCTCGGAATTGGGTTAAAAGTCAGTTTGTGAAAAAAAAACGAAATGTGTATATTAGAGTGGGTAAATATTAAATACTTTTTACCACACATTTAAATATGATCTCTCGAACAACTTATGTGGTGGACTATTGTTCGAAAGCATTTTTTAAACCATTTTTAGAGAATACAAAAATAGTTGCCAACCAATCTATTATTATTATATATATGTCTCTTGTAGAGAATATATGTGTCTGATATTAATATGAAGTCATTAACTTCATATTAATATCAGACATATATATTTTTGGCTTCAAAGTTTTTTTTTCTGTCGTTTGTATAATAAAGTACATGTGTATGTTGAAAAATTTTATCAGTTTGATTGACATGCCAGTCAGTGGCTTGCTGTGACACTTTGATTAAATGTTATGAACAAAAACTAATGTGTCACAACAAGTTTGGCTGTAATTTTGAGCCTGCTTGTTATAATTATGATATAATAAATTTCTTATGGACAAAACTAGGTTTAAGATCATAGAAAAATTAAATATATATATATATATATATATATTAAAATATCCGAATGAATATTATTCGAATTATATTATAGGAGTAAAAATGTGTAAGACTTATCAAAATAATTATTCGTATATAAAATAACATCAAACACGTGCCATGATAATTTGTTTTTGTCGTATTATCTATCGGAATTTCCCTACACAAAAAAGAGTGAGCCAGCCAACAAAAATTGCAATATGTGTGTGAACCTTCTGGCTGTATTTAGGTTATCAAATTTGAATGAAGAACCAGTGAAAATGCCAAGGTAACTGACCATTTGATTAGATCCACAAGGATGTATCAGTTTCAGGTTGTTAAATCCAGTTTGAATCCAAAATACTTTATTTAAAATCTATCTATGCGTTTATTTTACTCCCCTGATACAATATTCTGGCATAACATATTAAAGAATATGTTTTCGGGGATTCTTATAAAAAAAAACTTTTTTCCATGAAGCACAAAAGGCGTGAAATTTTAAACGAATCATATTTCGAGGCATTAAAGAAGTGTAAATTTTTAAGAATAATTTGTTGAGGCGTTGAATAAGTTCTGATTTTAAGAATATACCAGGCCTACAAGGTACAATTTTTCCAGGCCACAACATACTGTCATTTTTATACCCTTCACCACACTGTGGTACAGGGTATTATGTCTTTGTGTATATGTTTGTAACAGGCAAAAGGAAACGAGATAGACACATAGTTCCTTTTGAGAATGTGCATACAATCACTTTCTAAGTCGATTTATGGACAGCCCGTCTGTCCATGTTAAATTGTAAACAAAGTATAGGTCGCACTTTTGTTTGGCCCAAGGACGAACCCTATTGAAAAAATCGGTTCAGATTTAGATATTATATATGGGAACTATATAATTTCCGATTTATTGTAAATGGTGCACCAAAGTCCCTATATATTTTTCGATTTGTGCGAAATTTTGCATAGTGTATTGAATTAAGGGAACCCCCCTTAAAGAAAAGTCCTTATTTTTGATGGCGGGCATGATAACTCCTCACTGGAACATCGGAATCCGAAAATTCCAACGGTGTTAGAAAGAGTACATGTCTGGCTCTCATATGAACTAGGATTACTGATTTCGCTCTAAAATTAATAAAATGGCGGACCTTTGAAAAAATATTTTTGAAAAATCGCCGATTTTTTGACCAAAAACCATGTTAAAAAATAAGGAAGATCTTCACCGATTGACTTTATCCTAGTTCATACGATAGCTATACACTCACAGAGAAACGTGTAAAAATTTGGAATTTTTAGCCGTCATTTGATGCTGACACAATAAATCGGCTATATCTTCAAGAGTTGTTGAGATTTTCACATGGAATTTTGTAGGGAAATTCTTGAATTAGTGTAGATTCGAATTAAATCAAAACAATTTTTGACCCCGAGATATGGGGGGGGTCCCCTTAAGTCTAGAATGACGTGTGCTAAATTTCCAGAAAATCGGGTCAGATTTATATACATCTCCCATATATATATTCGGTAAATGGGGCACCAAAGTTCTATATATCTTTCGAAATTTTGCATTGTGCACTGAATTGAGTCCAGAATGATGTGTGTCATGTTTCGAGAAAATCGGGTCAGATTTTGATATAGCTCCCATATATATTTTTTCCTTATATATCTTTCGATTTGCACGAAATTTGGCATAGGGTACTGAATTATGTCCAGAATTATGTGTGTTAAGTTTCGAGAAAATCGGTTCAGATTTAGATATAGCTCCCATATATACTTTTTTCCATATATATTTTCGTCCGATTTAATGTAAATTGTGCACTAAAGACCCAAAGTTTGGCCGACCGGCACACAATTTTGTACAATGTACAGAAGTTACTATAATTGAATGTTTTTGTACGTTGAAGTTTTTCTGACAACCTCTTTTAATATTTGTTCGCTCAGGACAAATGTATTTACAGAAATTTTGTGGTTTTTCTGTATTTTTATTTACACTTGATGTTGTTCATGGGGACTTTCGTGCCTTTGAGATATGTGTCCTACCATAGCTTGTGTGTTTAGTTTCGAGGAAATCGGGTTAGATTTGGATTTAAGTACGCTCAATTTCATGTCAATGTTCCTTCGAAAAGACGACGTCTTTTGGGATACATATGTAGAATATACCCAACGTGGTGAAGGGTGTCATATTGTCGGCCCAGTCCGACTTTACTATTTTCCTTACTGTTTCTTTTTAATTTGTATTAAAATATTTTTTTTATCCTTAAATGAATAAAAAAGTAAATCCATACTTGTATTAAAAAATTCTTTAAAAATTTTAGCATTTATCTCTTAAAAATAACGTTTTAATATATTCGATGGTATTAAGGCCTTCAAAAATACGCCAGGCAAATATTTTTAAATAATACAATCTTTCATATTTTCCGTGGTCCTTAACAATTTTATTTCAGTATGTGTATAGCTCTTAAAAATATTCTTTAAAAAGTTCTACCCCCTTTAAAGATTATCATAACTATTTAATCAGTGTTTCTTATTCGCCCAACCTAATGGCTTTGAACTTTTTTCTTTTCTGAAAATCTTCTCAAAATTATGATAAATTATTTCCATTTGTAGAAAAACAATAATTTATGGAATACCAAATTATGTTAAGTCTGTATGTGTATGTGTGTGTCGCATAATTTTTATTACTACCAAACTAAACTGCCCTCCCTCTCTCTCTCTCCGGTAACCCTTTCGTTACTTATTACCATCTAGCCTCAGTTAAATTTAAATAAATATCTATCTTATGCTAACATCCTTTAATAACCTTAAAAAAGTAATGTAAAGGTTTTCGGTTTGTTTTTTTGTTGGAGCACAGGATAATGTTCGGAAAGTACTAAGTGATGTCTATGTCTCGCAAAAGTGACGCCAAAAGAAAAAGTTTTGCTAGTCGTTGTCGTTATTAGTTGTAGTGGTGGTGGTGGGAAGAGACATTTTCCTGTGTCCTCCTTACCTAACATATAACATGTGGGTGAGAGAGAGTGGTAGGGGGTAGTTTATACGCCCTCAATGAGGCTAAAGTTATGATTTTTTCTTTTTTCCTGAACTCAATGGGAATTTCTAGTTGTGTGTGTGCGTGTGTGTGTATGCTTGCCTGCGTTTTCCGGTTATCGACCATGAATCCTTTATCCTTTATGTGGGTGATCCTGTGTGTGTGCGTACGCCTCTGTGTATGTAGAGTAGGATGCCATCTAACACACGTTGATGTATGGCGCCAATCAGGCGTAATCGTGGTGAACGAAGAAAAAGATCTAAAAAAAACCTTCATCGTCCCAGTAAAGCGTCGTAGGAAAACTTTTTTCTCAGTTTGGAAAATTGACTGTTCAACGGGTTTTCCACACGTTTCAATGTGTCTATATGTCTGTCTGACTGCCTGCCATCCTGGAATTGTGGAATGTCTTCTTTTTGTCTCTGCCAAGGCAGAGAATATAATAAGAAGACGACGAAAAAATCGCTAATGTAAGGTGGTTTTCAGGCTATCAACACAAATTCCCGTTTAGTTTTATGACTGTTACAGTTTTCTGCCCCCCCAAAACCCCCATATTCCGAATCCTGCTTAGTTTTCCTGTCGTCATCATTGGTGCTGGATTTTTCTTCTTTTTTTCGCAGACACCATTTCGCCTGATGACAATCGTCGGTTCAATTGTCATTTGGACCTGGAATAGATTTTTGCAACATTTGTCGTATTTATGACTGCGTGTTATAAAATATGAATTGACAGTTTAAGTGATGATGGTTTGTGTCTGAGGAGGACGGCAGCAAAAAAAAAAAAAAAAAAAAAAATCCAAACGGTGGCAACAATTGTTTGTTGTTGTTGTAGCAGCCCTATTACTTTTACACAATGGGCTGAGGTGACAGACGTTGGCCGAGTAAGACTCAGGTCGTTTCGGATCGTAGACCCCTCTGTCATGGAAATTTTTGCAATTGTTTGTTGTTGCTGTTGCCTTGGCTGCTGATTTTGCGTCTTATACCACAAGCCAGAAAACATCCAATTAGTATGGCGTTCTTTTTTTCTTCTTGGATTTTTCTTCTTCTTATTTTCAACAAATGATATGATAAAGAAAGCATAAATTCATAGGAAATATAAAAAATACTATTACTAGCAGACAATGGAATGACATTTGATATCTCCTAATATGGGCGAACTTTTTATATTTCTTATTAGCCATATTTGAATTTGAAATATTTTTTAAGTCCTTAAATATTTGTTGTTTACAAATTTTTATTAATAATCTCTCTCCCTTTCTCCTTCTCTCTTTCCAGAACTCAATTAGACATAATCTCTCTTTACATAATCGTTTTATGCGCGTACAAAATGAAGGTACTGGCAAATCCTCTTGGTGGATGCTGAATCCCGATGCGAAGCCTGGCAAATCGGTGCGTCGACGTGCCGCCTCAATGGAAACGTCACGTTACGAAAAACGTCGGGGGCGTGCCAAGAAACGTGTTGAAGCTTTACGGCAGGCTGGTGTGACCGGTATCAATGATAATACTCCGTCGCCGAGCAGTAGTATAAGCGAAGGTTTAGATCATTTTCCCGAGAGTCCATTGCATAGGTAACTATTAAAAGCTATTTTGGAAAATATATAAAATTGAAATAGTAGTGAATTCTAGAATTTAGTTTTTTTTTTCTTATTTTGGAAATTTTAAAATTTAATTTACATATTAGCAAAGTAGATATAGATTTGCTTGAAGTTTTTTTTTCAATTTTTTTTAGAGAAATTAATAAAAATTATTTTTTTTAAGATTTGAATTTATTTCAAAAGCAAAACACTTTTTATAGAATTTAAAAAATCGTATATAAGAAATTATTATAACTCTTAAAATAGGTCTTGAAGCACTATTAGGTCTTAAATTTTAAAATTAGTAGGCATTAAAAAAATCATAAAATCTATTTTTAAAAGTCAAATTGCCCATAATACATGAACAATCATGAACAATTTGGTTTTAGAAATATTTTTTTAAGTGCCCGACATTTAAGTCTTTGAGAAAATATTTATTTAAAACCAGTGAGCGGAGCAGTATAGTCGGACGGGGCCGACCATATGATACCCTACACAACTACTACGAAAAGCCTGGGCAATACTTCGTGATATTTGCACCCTTTTTACCGATTATAGATCAACAACTCCTCTTTCTAAGTCTTGCATATTTTCAAAAATGTTTTTTCTTGAAGTGAATTTTTACGCCATACAATAAAAAATTGGTCACTTTAGGTTTTGGCTGATTTGACACTCGGAAAATTGACCGATCATCATCTAAACAACCGCTCTAAGTATTTGGTCAGATCCCCTTCACCTTGTAAAATTTGTGATGTTCTGTATATAATAATTGCTTCTAGAGCGACTAGAAAATCTGGCAAAACTAAAGTTTTCGGTTCATTGTACGCCCTGAATGAAATCTCAACTCCACCGAAATTTATAAGCTTCGTCCTTGACCATAAGCGGAACTTCATGGAGTAATAGTAATAATATGCACATAGTCACCTTTAATTAATTACGTATAACTCCCGCATCGGAGTACATACAGCCATATAATTGGTATCAATTTGAAGGTCAACGACTCATCTTGGACATACTATCAACATCTCGAGTATATATCCTTCAGGAGCAAGTATATACGCCCCAGAATAAAAAAAATTTTAATTTTTCACACAAAAGTCAGGGTTCATTTGACCCGTTAAATATTGACCGATTTTTATCAAAACAGGCATGCTTATTCTTAGGCCCGATCCCCTTCTCCATGTAAAATTTCACGGTGTTCGGACCATAACTGCAGCCTCTGGAGCGACCAGAAAAACCGACAAAAATTTAGTATTTGGTCCATTTCATCCCCTAAATATTAACCGATCTTTATCAAAAACAGTAGGGGTCTTCATTGGCCAGAACCCATCCTACATGCAAAATTTCGTGAAGATTGGTCCATAACTGTGGCCTGTATCGTGTTTACAAATTATAATGGACAGACGGACGGACACACATGTCTAGATCGACTCAGCTAGTCGAGATATGACGATCGGTATACTTAAAGGTGGGTCTAGGACGAATATTTTGCGGCGTTACAAACTTTTGGGGCTGCACAAAGCTATAATACCCTGACAACATAGTTGTGTATGGTAGAAAAATCCATGTCTTGGTTTGAACATAACATTTAATTTTTTTAAAAAATCAGTGTCCCTTAAAAATATATCTTTAATATATTTTTAAAAAAACACACCTAATATATAGAAATTTTTATGATAAAAAAATAAAGCGTGGATTTTTTAAAAAATATATTTCAAAGTCTCCATATACGGCTTGGATTAAAAAAAATTCAAGCTCTCCATAAGGCGTGGATTTTGAAAAAACTATTTTTCAAGCTCTCTATAAGGCATAGATTTTTTAAAAAAATATTTTTTATGCACTCTATATGGCCAGGATTTTGTAAAATATTTTTTTCAAGGACAATATAAGTCGTGGATTTCTTAAAAATATTTTTTCAAGGACTATATAGTTCTGGATTTTTAAAAAATATTGAGGATTATATTTTGGAGTTTCAAACAATACTTTTTCAGGCCATATAAGTAGCCTATATTAGGTCTATATTAGATGTGGATTTTTTAAATGTTCTTCCCAAGGTTTACATTAGTCCTTGAAAAAAATATATTTTTTTTAAAATCCAGGATTTCTATGGTCCTTGAATTTTTTTTAAATCCAGGCTTTCTATAGTCCTTTAAATCCACGCCTTAAGGAGACCTAAGAACAATTTTAAAATCCCGGCTTTCTATAGTCCTTTAAATCCACGCCTTATGGAGACTTAAAAAAATATTTTTTAAAAATCCAGGCTTTCTATAGTCCTTTAAATCCACGCCTTATTGAGACCTAAAAAAATATTTTTTAAAAACCCAGGCTTCTATAGTCCTTTAAATCCACGCCTTATGGAGACCTAAAGAAATATTCTTTTAAAAATCCAGGCTTTCTAAAGTCGTTTAAATCCACGCCATATGGAGACCTTGAAAAAATATTTTTTAAAAATTTAGGCTTTCTATACCCCTTTAAATCCACGCCTTTTGGAGACCTTGAAAATATTATTTTTAAAATCCACGCCTTATGGAGACCTTGAAAAAATTGTTTTTAAAAAATCCACGTCTTTTTAGACCCTGAAAATTTATTTTTAAAAAAATCCAAAGTCCTTGAAAAATATTTTTTTTAAATCCACTCTTTATAGAGACGTTAATTTTTTTATATCCACGCCTTATGTAGTCCTTGATTTTTTTAAGCCAAGTCTTATACAGTCCTTGAATAAATTTTTTTTTAAATCAACGGCATATATAGTCCTTGAAACAAATTTTTTAATATCCACGCCATATATAGTCCTTGATTTTTTAATTCACGCCCTATAAAGTTTAAAAAATACCACGAAACTTATAGTCCTTGAAAAAAATATTTAAAAAATTCCAAGCCCTATAAACTCCTCGAAAAAAATAGTTTTTAAAAAAACCACGACTTACGTATATAATCTATAGAAAAAATATTATTTAAAAAAAAAACACGAATTGGGAAAATTATTTTAAAAAATCCTTGAAAAAATATTATTTAAAAAATCCGTGCCTCATATAGTTTTTTGAAAATATAATATTGAAAAAAACTTCGGCTTATATGGCCCCTGAAAAAAATAATGTAAAAAATCCACGCCTTATATAGTTCTTAAAAAAATATTATTAAAAATTATCCACGCTTTATATAGTCCTTGAAAATATTATTTTAAATTTCAAGCCTTATATAGTCCTTGAAAAAATTTTTTTTAAATCCCCGATTTTATAGTCCTTGAAAAAATATTGATTAAAAATTCTGGGCTTTTAAACTCATTGAAAAATTATTTTAAAATATTCACGTATTTTATAGTTCTTGAATAAAAAATATTTAAAAAATGAGAGCCTTATATAGTCCTCAAAAAAATATTTTTAAAAAAATCACTACCTTATATATAAAAAATTTAACAAAATTATTAAAAAAATCCATGCATTGGATAGTGCTCGAAAAAAAAAATTAAAACATCTACGGCGCAAATATAGGTTTAAAGATTTTTTTTTAATCTTCGTCCTTTATATCTACTCCTTATAAAGTCCTTATATTCCTTTTAAATAAATATAATATAAAATTATACTGAATTAATAATATTGACTTTCCTAATATATCAAAATATAGTTTTTTACATATTTCGCAGTAGATTTTGAATTTTTTAGCTGCTTCCTAGATGCTTGCATTTAAAGGCAATTTCATTTTTTGTTGTAGCGTTTTCAAATATAGATTATTTATATTTACTGCGCATGAGAGTTCACTTATTAAACAAATAATATTTTTTTTATTTTCCTACATTTTTTATTTATAACAAAACTATTATTGTTTTAATTATTGCTTTTGTTTTCAAATTTTTTGTTTATTTTGTTCTGTTCTTATTTTTTCCATTCATTCGCCTTCAACATTTTAACATTCGCACACGATTAGTGGGTTTCCCATATCGCCGGACTTTAGACAACGTGCTTCATCAAATGCCAGTTCCTGTGGACGCCTGAGTCCAAGACCACTGGTGAATTTGGATTATGATTGGGGTTTTCCGGCTGATTATCAGAATTCAGCATCGGCTGCTACAATGGATAAATTGGCCGGTTCGATGGCCGAGGAATTGACACTACAAAAGGACCTGATGCAGCAACAGCAGCAGCAGCAACAACAACAGCAACAAGGGTCAGTTGTTATTATAATTTTTGTTTGTGTTTTTGTTTTGTTGTATTCTTTATAATTTTCAAAATGTGATTTTCTTGATTTCCGAAAATTGAACGCAAAAATTTTAATTTCTAAATGTTTCTCAAGCAAAGCAAAATAGCTTAGCATGACAAGTTTTTTACACTGTATATAATTATGGCATGCCTTAAATGTAGTTTAAAAATATATATAAATTTTTGGAAATATTCAATTATCCTCTACTATCCCTATTTAAAAACCGATCTATAAAGTCAAGTCTTCTTTTTATATTTTGATCTTTTTTTGGAAACAAACGGTCGTCATACGGTTGGCACAGGTTTAGCACAGCCTCGGGAATGCCCACTCAACCCCCACCGCCATATCCTAGCAACAATCAACAGCAACAACAACAACCAACCTATACGCTCAATGGCCCCATGGCACAGGGTTACAGTAATTTGCCCACACAGCAATGTATGCTGCATCGTTCACTCACCTGCACCTGTTTGCATACCACACGTGAGGTAAGCCAACGACCGAACTCAAACAAGTGGAATATAATTACAAAAAAATCATATCTCCCTTTTCATTTTAGGGCCTCTCGCCAAACTCAGTTCAAACTATGTCACCCGCCTATCCAAACAGTGAACCCTCATCGGATTCTTTAAACACTTATGCCAATGTAGTTATTGATGGTGCCTCAGGAGTCTCATCCGATGGCAGTGGCTCTAATCACTTGATGCTGCAACATCAACAGCAAAGACAATTACAGCAGCAACAACAACAGCAGCAACAACAACAGCAGCAACAGCAACAGACACAACAACATAGCTCAAATTTAGAAGGTAAGAGGGAGAGAAAGAGGAAAATTTAACGCCAGAGTTTGAGATATTTTTGTTTTTGTTATTTTAGTATAGTAAATATTTTTGTTACTTACTAGTAGTTGTTGTAGTTGTGGTGGTGGCATATTGATTATATATATTGACATTAATTTTCCAGATAATAATTGCGCATCAACTTTAATAGGACAATACTTGGGTGCTCTGAACAGTGAGGCAACACCAATTGACGAATTTAATATAGAAAATTTTCAAGGTGGTCTGGAATGCAATGTTGAAGAGGTAAGTTAAGACATCTCTCCTTATGATAGTCCTTGAAAAATATCATTTAAAAAATCCGCGCCTTATGATAGTCCTTGAAAAATATCATTTAAAAAATCCGCGCCTTATGATAGTCCTTGAAAAATATCATTTAAAAAATCCGCGCCTTATGATAGTCCTTGAAAAATATCATTTAAAAAATCCGCGACTTATGATAGTCCTTGAAAAATATCATTTAAAAAATCCGCGCCTTATGATAGTCCTTGAAAAATATCATTTAAAAAATCCGCGCCTTATGATAGTCCTTGAAAAATATCATTTAAAAAATCCACGCCTCATATAGTCCTTGAAAAATATTATTAAAAAAACACGCCTTAAATAGTCCTTGAAAAATATAATTTAAAAAATCCACGCCTTATGATAGTCCTTGAATAATATTATTTAAAATATCAACGCCCTATGATAGTCCTTGAATAATATAATTTAAAATATCCACGCCTTATGATAGTCCTTGAAAAATATAATTTAAAATATCCACGTCTCATGATAGTCCTTGAAAAATATCATTTATAACATCCACGCCTTATGGTAGTCCTTGAAAAATATCATTTAAAAATCCACGCCTTATGATAGTCCTTTAAAAATATAATTTAAAAAATCCACGCCTTTTTTAGTCCTTGAAAAATATTTTTTAAAAATGCACGCCTTATGATAGTCCTTGAAAAATATTTGTTACAAATTCAAGCCTTATTTAGTCCTTAAAATATTAGTTAAAAATCCACTTTTAATTAATTTAATTAATATATTTCAAGTACATGAAAAATATTAATTAAAAAATTCTAGCCTTATATAGTCCTTGAAAAAAAAAATATTTAGAAAATCCACGCCTGATAAAGTCCTTGAAAAATATTAATTAGAAAATTCACGACTGATAAAGTCCATGAAAAATATTATTTAAAAAATCCACGCCTTATATAGTCCTTGAAAAAGTATTATTTAGAAAATCCACGTCTGATAAAGTCCTTGAAAAAGTATATTTTAGAAAATCCACGTCTGATAAAGTCCTTGAAAAAATATTTAAAAATTCACGCCTTATATAGTCATTGAAAAAAATATTTTTGAAAAGTCCACGCCTTATATAGTCTATGAAAAATGTTATTTAAAAAATCCACGCCTTATGGTAGTCCTTGAAAAATGTTATTTAAAAAATCCACGCCTTATATAGTCCATGAAAAAAATATATATATAAAATCGAACCTTATTAATATTTATAATTCATCTTCTTTTATGTTATTTCCAGCTAATGCAACAAGAAATAAGCATTGATGGTCTACTCGATATTAATATACCACTGACCGGCGTTAATAGCGCCAATGTCACGAATAATAGTGTCTCAAATGCTGGCCATATGGGAGCTGTAAATAATGCGACAACATTAGCCAATACAACATCGGCAACTCTGACACCACAACAACAACATTTGCATGCTCAGCTACAGGCTCATTTACAACAGCAGCAACAACAAATGCTGCAACAACAGCAGCAGCAGCAACAACAACAGCAACAACACCAACAGCAGCAGCAACAACAACACCAGCAATTGCCACCAATGCTTAACAACAACAATAATACACCAATGACAACCGGCCTGGAATTGCCGGTGACACAATCGCCAACATCCAATCTGAATGCCATAGTACAATATCCCCAGCAGAGTGTGGTGACTCCGCCATCCTGGGTGCATTGATACAACCGTTTGGTCCACTACTTCCCATATAGTCCCATTCTAAATCATCATCAATATCAGCATCAATATAGCCGAAATGGATATACCAGCAGCAGCAACAGCAGCAGTAGCAGCAGCAACAACATCTTCATCAGCAACCCCTATGGTACAGCAACAACAAAGCCCACTGAAGAATGCTGTTACAACAACAACAAAACCAATAAACGTAAGCATAGCTTACGTCAATTGTGAGGAGCCGGAGCGCGAGAAGTTACCACCAGTCATCAGCATGCATTGTGTGAACCAGTGAAATTCCTCAAAACAACTTCTCTTGCGCTCTGTTTTGTACCGGGAAACAAAATATAGTTAAATTTTGGTAATAAAATTAAACAAAAAATAAAAACTATAACGGCGAACTGATGTAGCAGTTCGCCACAAAACAAATTTGTTCTAATTAATTCAATTACAACAACATCTTAAAGAAAAAAAATAAAATAATATTAAATAATAAAGAAAAAAAGAAAAACAATGAAAACAAAATCTAATATTTAAGGACAATAGTGTAAAGAAAAAAATGATAACAAAAAGAAATAAACAACAAAAATTGTACAGAAAAAAATTAATCGAACTTTCTCTTTCTCAACCTTAAATAAAAAAATAATTGCAATAGGAAATATTTAACAATGCTACAAATACCACAAATCAAAGTAAGTAGAGCAAAATTTTGGTAAATTTCCTCCCTCCTCTGATAAGTTCTGTGTGGGGTTGATTTGCTGCCCTGTAGTGAAGCTGTAGTGGTTGTAGACCGACCGACAGCCAGCCACCCAGCCAGTTGTCTATATTAATTTAAAATGGCATTTCCACATAAATTATGTTAATATAATAACAAAAAATGTCCTTTCTTTTTTCCTTTTGTCATGCTCTACCACCCCCCCTCCTACTTTCATAATTTCTCATCCAGTTATAAATTATGAATATGAATGAACCTATTTAGATATTTGGCTGGCGTAGGACAAAAAAGTGCTGAATATATTAAAATTTTGGCTCTAAAGGAATATCCTTACAGGATTTGTATGTCGAAAATGCTCTTTGAATTATTTCAATTAAATAAGAAAGGGAGAGAATTGGAGCGTGGAGTAATATTTTAGTTAACAAATTTGTTTAAATGCCTGCTCGCTATTGGAATTTTAGGTTGGCTTCCGAAAATACTATTTATAAAAATCCAGTATTGGAAAATATGTTTTTTTAAATCCAGATCAAAATGTAGTGTTGGAAAATTTTGATTTTTTTGTACACCTTTTTCGTCCGTATTATAGACGAGGATTTTGTATCTTCAAATATTCTACGAAAATGTCGTTCATAAGATTTTAGATTGGGTCCTCAAAGACTAGAAATTTATCTTCGTTCGATTTAATCGTTATTTTCCACGTTTACCCGATCCTTGCTTAGAACACATGAAATCCAAACTAAAAATTTATGAATTTTTGTTTATAGGCCTGCAAATCGCTCTAGTCATTCACTTCTATTCCGTATGTCGTCGTCGACACGAAACGACGTCGAAGAGAGTCGTCTTTTCTTCTTCATATTTTTTGTTGACGACTGAAGCGTTTGAACATTTTTTAGAAATTAAAAAAAAATATGAGCGGACAACAACAAGATACATCATTCTAGAATCTATTCAATACTTAATGCAAAATAAAGTGTAAATAACGAAAAATATGTGGGATCTATATATAAATCTGAACCGATTTTGACCAATGTCAATAGGACTCGTCTATGTGCAAATAAAATTTCATCCCAATCGGATGGATTTTTTCCAAATTTCATCCCGTTCGGATCATAATGGTGGCATGTAACTTGTTTAAAATAATACATGAATGGAGGGACATACATAAATCGTCTGAAAAATTATTCTATGTATATACTATAACTATGGGTCTATGTCGTTTCTTTTTGGATCTTGCAAACACATGTACCAAGACATAACGCCCTGTGCCACAGTGCGGTGAAGGATACAAACACCAACAAAATAAATAGCTGACCACAATTTTAGAGATGTGTTGTTTGTTTTTGTTTTTTTTTTTTTATTATCGATAAATAGTCGACATCGTCATATGAGTGATACAGAATACCAAATCAGTGTCGAAGTGATGTCGAGTCGAAGTGATGTCGAAAGAGAAACGTTGTCGACAACGACGACGACATACGGATTAGGGATGATTATTATGGGACAGTGTCAAGGTGCAGGGTTATCTAAAACCTACTACATACACGGTGGTTTAGCCAGAATCCGATAAGAAAAGTTCAAAAGTCGGGCGGGGATGACTTTTTGATACTCTTCACCACTTTGGGTATATGCAAGAGATATTCCTAAGATTTTTATTGTAGCAGACTTACTCTATCTAAATCTGAACCGATTTCAACAAAACCAAATACCCGTTATCCCAGGCTCAATTTTGGGCGTTATCAGTTATGTATTTGGTGCACCATTTATATCAAATTGGGCGGAAATTTATATGGGAGCTATGTCTAATTTTAATCCGATACCAATTAAACTTCTCTGACATCATTCTAGACAAACATCGGATCTTTGGTGCAGCATTTTTATTAAATCGGGCGATATAGAGCCTGACTATTTTGCAAAAACAAAAAAAAAATAATAATAAAACTTTATTATATATAAATATATATCTATATATATAAAAGAGCTTAGTGTTAAGTGAGTGAGTGACTGACTGACAGATCATCGCCCAGACGAAACGCCTGAAACTAGAAGCTTGACATTTTGTGTGTGGGCTGTTGTTGGGGTGTAGGCGTGAGATAAGGCTGGGTTTTTGGAAATTCGAACTAGAAGGGTACGAAAAGTACTAAAATGTACCAAATATTGTATTAGGCGAACGGGAAGAGCTAGAATTCTGAAATTTGGAATGTAGGTCACTGATGGAAAATTAGAAAGATGTACAAAAGGGTTTTTGGAAATTCGACCTAAAAGTGTACTAAAAGTACTAAATTTAGTTCTAATTGTATATATATTGAACATATATAGCTAGAATCTTAAAATTGTATATGAAATACAGGTTGAGACGTGGTGTTGATGTGTGGAAATGGCTTTAGAAATTCGTACTTATGTTTATAAAAAGTACAAAATGGTACTAAATTTGGTACTATTTGCATTTAGTTGAGTTTATAGAGATGAAATCCTGAAAATCGGAATTAGGACTACTATTGGAGTACAGGATTGAGGTAGATTCAAAAAATTGTACTTATATGTACGAAAAGTACTTAATGGTACTAAATTTGGTGCACGTTGGATTTCGGTTCACATATAGAGCTGGAATCTTCAATTGGGAATTAAAATGGCCGTTGCATTGTAGAATTGAGGTAGTTTTGGAAAGTCGTTTTATTGGTACGAAAAATACTAAATGGTACAAAATTTAGTACAATTTGGATTTTGCTTGAACGGATAGATCTAACAACATAAAATTCTGAATTCAGATTATTGTTGATGATTGAGTTATAGAGACATCTTTGGAAATTCGTATTTATGTGTACGAAAAGTACTAAACGGCACTAGATTTGGTACAATTTGGATTTGATGGAATAATGGTTGCTGTTGGAGTATAGAAGTTGGAGTTGGAGTATAGTTCTTAAGTGTACTAATTGGTACTATATTTTGTACTACATGATTATGTGTGAACGGATAGAGCTGGACCCCAGAATTTTGGAATTAAAATTGCTTTTGAAATGTAGGATTGACGTAGTTTAGTAAATTCTTAACAATTCTTAACTATAGAAACAAAAAGTACTAAATGGTACCAAATAGTTAACAACTTGTTTTTGTGTGAACAGATAGGGTTGATATCCTTAAATTTTGAATTAATATTACTGTTGGAGAGCAGGATTAAGATATGTCGGCAGTTTTGAAAATTCGTGATAAGTGTACTAAATGGTACTAAATTTGGCACAGTTTAGATCAGAGTGAACGGATAGAGATGGAAAACTTAAATTTGGAATGCAAATTACAGGATTATGGTAGTATTGGAATTTCGTACTTATGGATACGAGAAGCACAAAATGGTACTAAATAGGGTACAATTCGTTTTATGTAAGCGGGAATCCCAAAATTTGGTCTTAAAATGAAGTGTGGGGTGAGGATTGAGATATGGAAGTAGTTTTGAAAATGCATGATTGTGTGTACTAAATGGTACTATGTTTTGTACAATTTAGATTTAAATGAAAGGATAGGATATATTTGAAGTTAAAATTACTGTTAGATTACAAGATTGAGACAGTGTTGAAAATTCAAACTTAATGTGCGAAAAGTACTAAATGGTACTAAATATACTACAATTCGGATTTATGTGAACGGATAGTGTTGGGATCCTGAAATTTATGATTAAAACTACCGTTGAAGTGTGGAATTGAGGAAATTTTATAAACTCGTACTTACGTCTACGAAAAGTAATAAATGGTACTAAATTTGGTACAATTTGGTTGTTGGTGAACGGATAGAGCTGGAATCCTTATATTTGGACTAAAGGTTATTATTGGAGTACATGACTGAAGTAGTTTTGGAAGTTCATACTTCTTACTTATAAGTGTTATGGTACTAAATTTGGAACAATTTTGATTTGGTTGGATCCTGAGATTTGGAATTTAGATTACTGTTGAAGTGTAGTAATGAGCTATGGAGATAACTTTGGGAACTCGAATTGATGTTTACGAATAGTAAATAGAATAGCAAATGCACTAAATTTGGATTTGGGTAACGGAGAGAGCTGGAAACCTAAAGTTTGTAATGTGGGTCACTGACGGAGGGTTAGAAAGAAGTACCATGTGGTACTAAATTAAGTGGTCTTGAAAATGTGTAATTATGTGAACCTATACGTTTTTGCTAAATATATAATTGGAATTCTGATCAATTTTTAATTTGTATAATAGAAGTAAGAGAGATTTCGGAAAATAATGCTTATGTGCATGAGGAATACAAATTTACAGTATTCACGATTCCATATGAAATATTTTTTTTGTATACCCTCTCCGCATACGAAGTAGCGGGCACTTTTGCTAGTATATA